TTTTTTGGAATTAGTTTTTGATGGCAAAGGTTGCATAGTATGCTCACATTCTCCTAATAATATACCCTCTCACAAAGCACACACTTAGAACATACTTCCTTTCTCTCTCTGATCCTCTTTCTCTCCCCTCCTTCCTCTCTCTTTAGAAAAACTTCGAAAGAGTAACATCCAAAATGTTATTGGTGTTTATAGTTGAAAGTGACTGTATATGCATCTCTGTATTTTCTGAATGTTCTACAATTAATGTGGATTACTCATATAAAATCATTTAAGGAAGTGTAGCAGAATAACTCAGGGGCTGCCGGATGAATTTAACATGTGCCGAATTAGACCGAGCCCATGCAGGTGTCCGTTTGCTGGAGTAGCACATGGTGCACTTCTCTCTGCTGTGTTTCAGGGTGAAGAAGGGGACCAGGGAGAACCAGGAGAGGCTGGAGCTCAAGGACCTCCGGTAAAGTATTTTTAAAAACATATCTAATTAGAATAGGCAGATATTCTCTTTCATGACTTTTGGAATATTTCCTGTTTAGCATTTGGATTAATCATGGTACATCACTGTGATAGTCTCTGTTTTCCCACCACGCCAGCACGGGGAGGGCACCATTTCTTCAAAATAGGAAAGGCTCCCCATTGTATGTTCAAACACCGTTTTAACAGAAAAGTTCTACCTATAATTACGTACATTCATTTACTAGATTTCAGGGCTGGGCAGTCTTAGAGTGAATGGTGAGCACAAGAAGATGACATATGTCTTTTATGTTCCATATATCACATGCTATAATGAGAAAATTATGTGTGCCTTGACTATACATATCACCCCCTGGATTAGTGTAGCTCCTGCCAGCGTGTAATCTTTATCATGAGAACATTCTTAGTTGCTCATAATCATATCTTTTAGTAAAAAGTTGGTCCTCTGCACTTTGGTAGATGCCTGTAATAGTATGTCCACTGAGGTCACCTGGGGGCATACTTCAGCTTAAATGTTGGTCGAATCACAGACATCATATGATATCGCTTACATGTGGAGTCTTAAAAAAATGATACAAATGAACTTATTTATAAAACAGAAACAGACTCACAGACATAGAAAACAAACTATGGTTACCAAAGGGGAAAGAGGAAGATAATTAGGAGTTTTGGGGATTAACAGATGCACACAGCTATATATAAAATAGATAAACAACAAGATCCTACTGTGTAGCACAGGGAACTATATGCAGTAACTTGTAATAACCCATAATGGAAAAGAATATGAGAAAGAATATATATATATATATACACACACACATAACTGAATCACTAGGCTGTACACCAGAAACTAACCTGTGAATAACATTGACAGTTGTTATTGTAAACAATTACAATTGCTTACTAACAATTGTCAGTGGTAATTACTGGTTGTAAATCAACTATAAAAATAAGTAAAAAATAAAGTAAAATAAAATGTTTGTCAAATCAGAATTTACATGACTTATATATATGAAAATGGAATTCTTACACTTTTCTTTCTTGCCACAATGACTAGTAACAAGAATGAAAATAATAATTTCAGAATATTCATGGAACACCGCAGCTGACCAAGGTGTGAAGTAGCAGTGGCAAATTCCTGTCCTGGTCTCAGAAACTGAAGAGTTAGGAAAGACAGACACAAAACCTAGGACCACCCTTCCTTCATCTGCTGGGCTGTTCCCACAGAGCTGCCTTTTACAAACGTTCAGGAAGCCATGCAGATTAGTGTTTACACAGAACTTAAGTCAGAGAATCTGGAAAAAATGACCTCCTTCTGTCTTTTTTTTTTAGAATGAACACGTGGAATCTATTATTTCATGTAACTCATTAATTGATGACACAAAAAGTAAGATGTTATGACCAATTCAGGGAACATTTGAAAAATCAGGTACAGATAGATCATTTAACAAAAAAATATTAGGTTAAGATAATTGAGGTAAATTTTAAAAGATCCTCTTTAAGTGTCCAAAAGGACATACATTTTGGAGTTATCTGTTTCAGAAAAAAAAGTTAATTATTTGCACCTCTATCAGACAAAAATCATTAAGTTAACAAGTGACTTTGCTAAGTTTGAGACCTTTTCTTTTTTGACCTCTGCTTTTAAGCCACGTGAGAACTTTAAGGGCATTTGGAGGAACAAGGGCTTTGTTTCAGGAGACAGTTTCCTGGGTGGGAGACACAGAATAGAATTAAGAGATATACAATTTTTTGATCTGATGAAAATTTGGGTACGGACTTAAGGCTATCTTTTTAAGCTGTTCCCAAAGATCCTCAGAATAGGATTTTGCAGGCAGCATTTAAGTGCTTTCATGGGTGGAGGGTCTCTGCTGGGTTCTGAACTGCCCGCATGGTCCATTGGAGGGTATTATTAACTGCTTGCTTGGCTTCATGGTGTTTGGGAGGGGATATGTCAAAATGTTTCTGTAAAATTCACGGATTTTCACTTTTTAAATATATAGCATCTGATTGGGACATTATGCTGTACACCAGAAATTGACACATTGTAACTGACTGTACTTTAAATAAATAAATAAATGAATAAATGAATAAATGAATAAATAAATACATAGACAGCATTTATCAATGCACAGATTTTCCCAAAGCATGCTTTTTAACACACTTACATACAGGGTCTCCCGGAAAGACCGCCCCCATCATTCTCACGTCTCTGCTTTTGACCCAGATATTTCTCGAATTCCTTTTTGAATTACCTCCAGAATCAGTAAGTGAGTCACAGAAGAACGAGCAGCTTTGATCAGACTTGGCCACGTCTCACCTTGCATCCTGAGCAGGACCATCCTGCCCACATGTGTTTCACTCAGTCTAGTCCTATTTGATCTGTGGGGAGTGGAGACTGACCCGGATGCAAAGTGAAGCACTGGCCATCCAGCTGCCCACTTTTCCCATTGAGAACACAGGGAAATGACTGGCCTCGAGCTACTTTGTCTTAAGCTGGTGTGGACCGTTAGCCACCCAACTTCCCTGCCGGGGTGTCTGCCCCTGCTGCTCCCAAGGGAGCATCTACAGAATCCGTTCCTGGAGCCCTGCTGCTGGGGGGCCAGACGGTCGAGAATGATAACATTCCGTATTGAAGGGGATCCTAGAAATAACACCTTGTACCCTCAGCTTGAGAATGACCCACTCCTGCACCTGAGAAGGGATGGGATGGGTTCCTACCACCCCCAGCTGGAATTCAGGATGCCTTTTATCATAGAAAAGGTGTGAAAAACAGCGACAGCATGTGGTCGATGGAGACCCCAGCTGTATTTTTAGGTCACAGGCTTTTGTGGGTTGATGGCTTTGGATGGCATCCATTGGTGGGGAAAGATTATCCCAAGGTTTCAAATCACAATCATGTAACATGTACCCAAGTTACAAACCATGACGGAGGCCAGAGTGGCCATGTATTCTGCACAGGGGTTAAAAGTCAAATACATTACTATAATTTTTTAATGTTAATGATATTTACTTTTTTGCCATCAGTGACTGTTCCAATTCCAGATTGATATAAGTCCTTAGAATCTTTCAGAAGGGTTCCACTGTCAGAATAATTCTCTTTGGACTTTTCTTTTAAAACTGGGGAAGTTTGTTTACATAATGTCACTCTTTCTCAGTGTTACCTTTGGTTACAACAGCATTCTTCTTCTGGATTTGCCTTTGCGATGACATCGAAGAATGTGTGCTTCAACTAAAAGAATTTCCCCTTCTGTTTCACATTTCCAGGGAGCTCAAGGCCTGAGAGGCATCACTGGGACAGCTGGGGCCAAAGGGGAAAAGGTAAGATGATGCAGGTGATGATACAATATCAAAATGCGTAAATGTTTATGTTTGGGGCCATTAAAAAATATCTTCTTATCTTCAACACCATCACTTTTTATTTCTCATTTGGTTCTTTGTAGATGTTTGGTTAGGTTCTTTTTTTTTAATTTTGTTTAATTTTTAAACTTTTTTTGGGGGTAATTAAGTTTGTTTATTTTTATTTATTAATGGAGGTACCAGGGGTTGAACCCAGAACCTCGTGCATGCTAAGCACACACTCTACCACTGAGCTCCGCCCTCTCCCCTATTTGGTTAGGTTTTTATCACTCTGTTATAAACGGATGATCTACATGAGTCGTACACGTGATATTTGTCCTGTATTAACATATTTTAAATTACTTTGGGTAAATAGGAGTAAGCGGGTCTATTCTGTTTAATTTCGTTATCATTATCAGTAGTTGAGACTGAGAACTCACACACAGTACCTGGAGAGCAAGGCAGAGACTGAGGAAGATGGACAGGTCGAGGGAGGGAAGGCAGGATGCCCTCAAGGACACTGGGGCCATCTTGGTTCCCCTGCCAACCATCACTGAGCTCTGCCCTTAGCAGGCATCCTACACTTGAGGTGCCTGGGAGACTCAAAGAGGAATTAGGCCCTCAGCAAGTGGGTTATTTATTGGGAGAAGCAAATAAGCAGAGAGTGTGTTATTATGCAAATGAGCGAGGCATACATCTGAGGGCAAATGGCATGAGGGACTGGAGGCTTGGGGATGGCCGATCTTGAGAGGGGAGTTGGGCGGGCTCACGAGGGAGGTGACATTGGAAGGATGCTTGGCCTCGAAGGATGAAGTGGAGAGTGGAAGACCGGGCCTGCTTGGCTGAATGAGTATCAAAAGCAAAAACAATAGAAACTTGAAGGTTCATAATGAGCTCACAAGTATTTTCTTGCTCTGTGTGTGTGTGCGCGCATGTGTGTGTACCAGTCCAGTGGTTAGCACTTTCTAGACAGTTTGTTTCCTAACTTTGTTAGGAAAGCTAATTTGTAGGCTCCAGAAAACATTTTTTAAAAAGGCCCCTTGCCCACGAGCCCTCTGGCCCTCACCTCCTTCTCTACAGAACGTCTGGGGCTAGTTAGTGTTGCTCCACACAGAAGCACAGAACCTTTCACGAACCACCAAACAAGGGTCACTTGCACACTGGAGATGCTCAGCAAATGAAACAATCTTTTTTTTAAAAAGGGATACACATTTTTGTGGATTGCAGGAATTGCTTCGTGAATTGCTCCGTGAAGAATTCCTTCAATTTCATTTTTTTTCCCAACCTCTTTCTTTGTCCCTCCTTGTGTGGGCCTTCCTCTTCCATTTCTCCTACAATATTTCTTTTTCTAAAATGCTGTCTTTTTAAAAACATATTTTGTATTTCGATATTCATGTTATCTTCAGGAGCAGGCTGTGTGTCTCTCTTCTATATGATCAAATGATAAATCCCTTGAAGTCGCTGCTATCTCGTCCTTTGCTTTTTCTGGGTTTAAATTGTCTCTTAAAATCTGTGACCCCCTCACGCTGAAACCAATTACTGTTCTCAATAGGCTCTTTATTTCAGGTATTTTGCTACTTGGTAGTTTTCAAAATTTCTCATTTCCTCTGATTTCTGTCAAATTGCTTTCCATAAAAAAAAAAAAAGACTCTTCTTGTGAACTCAGACCGCCAGAGTGGTTACCTAGTAACAGTCGTTTGGGTCTGAGCTCGTGCTGAACTGTGATGTGAGAGAGAGATGGAACATCAAAGCCATTTCTATAACGCGGAGGCTGCCTCCGCTCCCACCACACCACGTGAGTGATGAATTCAAGGTCTTTTTCAGGCTGTCTAAACCTCTTCTTCCCTGGTGGATGGAGAATGCCTTCTGCTCCGTTCTAGTTTTTAGGGATCAAAGAATTTCAAGGCTCCGTGGGGCCTCTGCTTCTGTTGTGTTCTTTCTTTGATTCTGCCCATGTCTGAACCATCTATCAAAGGTTTTCTAATTATCAATTCTTACTGTGGATGCTGTCCAGCTGGTTTTCTTGGCCTGCCATCCATCTGATACTCTTTCGACTGTCCTCCATTTCTTTTATCATCTCCTCCTGCTTGCTCCGGTTGCCCTTCTGTCTCCTCATTCACATGGTAGACAAGAAAAA